AACTTTAATGCTTTTGTTATTCTTAAGCATGAATTAGGTATGTGTAAAGGTGGGTAGTGAAATTTAGAGTTCTTTTAATGATATAGAGATTCAATACTCTGATTAACCACTGTGGAAACTCAAGCAACAACCTTCCTGTGTTTTGGTTGAAAAGAAAGTTGGTTTTCATAAAAAAAGGAGGGGATTTCATATCATTAAGAGATACATAAAACTGTATTGGCCAGTGTCTTCTATAAAAGATAAAGCTTATTCTTTAGTAGTATTTTGCTAGCCTTGGTAATTGAAAATTTTTATTTTAATTTTGTTTCATTTTGAAGTACAGAAATTTTGAATCTATGCTTTAAAATTTCACAAAAGTAAATGTCAACCAAACAAAACCTATTGAACTTAAGAACAATGAACCCAAGATTTTCAGTCAAAATATATTTTCCAATAAATTTTATATAGTTACTATAATTCAAATCTAATTGTTAGTCAGAAAAAGGAGGTTTAAGTAAACTGCATTTTGATGATTTGTATCTTCTTCTGGAGCTTTGACCCTTTATTCTCTTATAACGTAATTTGTCCTAACAAATATTTTAAATACTTGCTGACTTTTGAGGGACTAGTAAGAAAAAAAAATGGGGTATTTACTTTTCTGTAATACACATTCTTTCTTTTATTTTCTTTCATCTAGTAATATGGTAGGCCAAGTCATGAGGAATCATCTCTTTACCTTGTTATATGCATAATATTTTGAAAGAATTTAATGCAACTTTGTATTATCATTCCTATTATTAAATTTACTAAGATCATAGAATTGACTTGGGTAAGAGTACTCCAGAATTGCTTTAGAAAAAAATGAGTGCTGTTTTCCAATTGGAGATACCATTGTGGTAGTGGGTCTAAACATGAACTGAAAATTTTGCTATCTCACCATGAAAATCTGTGACTTCTGAAGAGTATAAATTGCTAACAAGAGAGACTGTCTGAAAATCCAGCAGGTATGTATCCACACCCCACCCCACCCCTGTCAGAGGAAGTGTGGGGTGTTTGAAATAATCTTATGAAAATCAAGATCTAAAATAACTTTTCCATAGAATTTTCAAATCCAATTCACACTGGAAAAAGTCTTACTCATTTAATATAATTTTTGTCCTGTAGAAAGAGCTAACCTCTAGGGATATTTCAAGTCACTGCAAACACAACAGATAGGTTCTAATTTTGAAATTTTAAGTTTGAGTTATATGAAGTTGAGAAAAGTATGGTCTAGTTCTTTGCCATAAAAATGTATGTGTATAAGAGATACCTCCTAGATATCTGTGAAATTGAATTACCCGAATTTAAACTGCTTTTATTGAATTTTATAAAAACTGAAAATTTGTTAAAAATGCTGATCATAAAAACTAAAATTTAGGTGACTTCCATGCTTGATGCCCTCATAGAAGAATACTCAATTTAAGTCCAGTACAGTTTACCTTTTGGGATCTTCATATAAAAATAATTAAAATACTTTTGGATTGATATGAAATATTATAATAAGTTTCTTCCACTTAAAGTTGATCATACTAAAGGTAGTGATATATCAGCTTGTAACCTCACTGTTATGTACAGACATGTATACCAACTGTAAATTTATGACAATTTTCAAGTCTTAAAATACTAATTTCTTTTAAACTAATACATTTCCTTAGCAGAAGCTATAGAAAAGGGTCATCATCAAACATTTCAAATGGCTTTCCAAAGCACTTAACTTCTATATGGCAAAAAGCCAAAACTCATACCCTCCGTGAATGCAAACGCTCCCACGTATGTGGTAGGATCTAAGATACTGAAGAATAATTTGCAACATTCCCTTCTGCCCTCCATCCTCAGGCTCTCCAAAGGAGATCTGTAAGATCTTTATAGATTTGCTACACTACACTTCTTTTGCTAATAGGGATAGGGGGTGGAGTTGTGGAAGTTGAGGAACAGAAAAAGAGATGTGATGAAAGAATAAAGAGAGAATAGAAGGGATTGATAAAGGAAGCTTCATAAAGGGCCAGGAAAAAAGAGACCTAGTACTAGGAAAAAGTTGTGGTGAGAGACTTAACTGATTACTGTACAGAGTAGAAATTTGATAGGAAAAAATAGAAATAAACTTTTTCAGAAATGTGTTCAGGAGATAATGTAACGCATTCTTCACTATCTCTTCAGAACACCTTCTACAAACACTTTATTTTTCAAGTTCTGAATTTGGATTTGTTTTTCATTCATGGACTGAGATAGCCTTAAAGTTGTAACTGAAAGACTGTTTTTTTCAGATTACTGTTGGATAGTTTTAAAGGTGTAATATAGAATAAAATAAGATAAATCTTTGGTTGTGGAATGCAGAATTTACTTATGTTATAAGGTAATTTAGTGCAAAAGAGCTGTAATTTTTGATTCCTGTTAAAAGTTTTGCAATTTCTGGTTGATATTTTTACTTTTAAGATTTTAATAATATTTCTTCTTGATTATTAGTTTTATATCCCTCCCCCCAAATGCCTTACACTATTAGATTGACTATAAACTGGAAATTGACCATTCCAAAAAAAGAAACGAAAATGTTTTCTTCATTGGCTAGATATTCAAAATCTAAAAAGTCCTATCGGTAGCATACATTAGGAAATGTAACAGAAAGTAGGTAAATAAATGTCTATGCATATTTTAGTTATCAAAAGTTTACAGAAGTTATTAATTTCTTTCTAGAACTAACCTCAATGCTTATGAATAATATGTGGCTATAATTTTTGAATTATGCAATGGTAAATCTCAAAATATTTCAGGTAAAATTTTCAAAAGAATTTGACAATTTAACTGTTGATATTCTTAGGTTTACAATACCTTTGGGATAATGGGGTCTATGAGTGGTAGGTAGTAAAGAAATACTTATTTTCACATTTTTCCTTAATCTTGCATACACAGCCTTTCTTCGACCATGATGAGGTTCAAAATTATACTTAAGATGATCATGCTTATAGTTCTGAAAAATATCAGTGTAATTTAAAAGAAATTCTAAAGGGGATTTGGGGTAAGAACAAAAATGCAGTTTGAGAATGCTAAAGAAAGATGTCAGGGAAGAATGAAAAAGAATTATAAATTAGGCTGACATAGAATAAAGTTATTGGACATTTTAAGGAAAAAATCTAAACGGAAAACTTAAATCTTTTAAGTACTGAGTACCCATCCCACAGAAGTTTAAATACTTTATAGAATTTATTTCATCAAAGTAAGTATACAGATGTTACTGACAGAGTTATATGGAAGACCATAGTTATTCTATTCCTTATTTTTCTAAATACCTTTTTTGTTGTATTACAAAAATAAATATATATGATTCATAAATTTAATCTGTTTTACATCTGTTCTTATTTAATATATATTTGAAGACAGGTAAATATGCAAACTTTATATTCCTCTAAATGTGTCCAGATTTGTGTAAATGTACCAAGCAAACTGTGGACAGTCCATGAGTGATGTATGGCCATGCAGGCGAAGGCCAGAAAACACTGCTAGCAATTGCTGACATACTGACTGAAGAAGTGATGGATTTCCCACTTTGTTTAGTATATTTTAAGAGATACTTTAAAACTCTTCCTTGTAGTTCTATAATTTTTTTTTTTTTTGAAACAAGAAAGATTAATCTGTGGTAGGCAACATTCTGGAGATAAATCAGCAAGAGAAAATAAGTGGCAGGGACTAGCTTAATGGGATAATTACCAAGTAAAAGATAAAGTGTGAGGCTCCTTTAATAGTAATACAGCTATTACAGTAATATAGTGTTGGTGGGAATTTGCGAATGTAAGCCGGGCATCTTTATCTGCGAGATTAAACAAAAACTGATTGTTAGATTAGCATCTTTAGACAACTGCTTCCCCCATCTTAACACACTCTTTCTAGCATTCTTCCACCTAGCACAGGAGTCATTACTTTAGTTTCATTTTATAATTAGTTTGTTGCTGATTTTATAATTAGTTTGTTCATAAGTTATGGTTATCTTAATTAGCTGACCCAATTTAATTCACAGAAAAATAATTTTTTTTGCAACCTTTGGGAAGGTCAATGCAACAACATAGCTAAGGTGTGTTCACGTTATTGGATTACGGACCCATCTATCTCATGTGTTAGGCGTGTTTAGATCCTCTTTGAAGTATACAACAGCATCCTTTTTTTTCTTGGAGACTTTGGAAAACAGCTCAGCATGTTCATGTAACTTATTTTTGGGAATAAAACATAAAAATTCTTGCAAAATGGACCAGCATCAGGCAATCAGCTAGATGAGTTTATCATCTTGAGCCACAATGTAGTCACTAAAACTTTGTTTAGATTAAGTTAATCTTTTTATATTAATTTGGGGCTATAATCATTGATCTTTCCTTCAAAGCAACTCTAGTCAGAACAAGTAATTTTCTCAGTATTTTGATATTTAATTTTACAACATATGAAGAACCAATGGAAGAGTCAAGAGGTCTTTTTCATGGCTCAAAATCATTAGAGCAATGCACTCACTCTTGGCCTTTCCAAGGGTAGTCTTAAGAATCTAGTAGAGAAACAGAGTACCGTTAGTGAAAAATGAGAGGGAAAGGGCCTGTAAACCATCACCTGCTATGAAATATGTTGAATACTATGAAAGTAAAAACAAAAGGACAAATCCAGCCTTCGAAGATTTAAAATCACGGAAGTGTCTCACTACCCCCGTTCTCACTATGCTGACACCTGATAAGAATTCACAATGAATGAAATCACTGGTCCTTTCTGCTAATACTCTGAAAACATTAGACATCAAAGATGCCACTACTAAAATATAAAGAAATAACCCATAGAGTTGAATATACTTGTCTAAAAAATAAGTATTTGTCAGTTTGGAAGCTACTTGGTCACAAAACATGACTATTTCTTCTTTATCAACCATCAAACTTTAAAGACATCATCAAGGAAGACACATCTGGGCAAATTCCTTTGCATTAAGTCTGTGAACACTTCCCAAATTCTGTCAGCAAGTTACACATCCATGCTGAGTTATTTACCATTGTGCAGTAATCACCTGCAGTGGGCCAGCATTTTGTTTTTAGGTTTTTCAGAAAAGGAGCCATGAAGCATGATTTTAAAATCCAAGTTGAGAACATAAATCAAAAGTGAGTGCCTGCCATCAGGACAGGAGACTGCAGTTTGAGAAGTGATGTTGGAGACTCAGAAGATAGGGTGGTAGAGAGGATGTCTTTCATCTTAGAAATGCTGAGGCACAGAACACAGGTGCTTGCAGTACTTTCATACATGAAATCCTTTCTCCTGTATGTGCATCATGTGTAAACGTAAAGTCTGTATACTGCTGACTATTCGTCTCTGGTGTCCAATCAGTATGACTCCGATTCTTCTAATGTCACTGAGGGAGACAGAGAAAGAGGAGACAGAGAGGGAAAGAGAGGAAACAAACATGTAGGTCTGGTCAGTAGATAGAGGAAATAAACATATAATAAATATGCAACATGGCAAATTTGTTTTACGAACTTGCTAAAAATTGTCTAGCAGGTAAAATGAGAATTTAAGCTGAGATAGAAATGAAATATCAAGCGTTGCTGCTTTTTTCTTCTTTCTGGCATCACTGCATACATGAAGTTCTTATAAAATTTAAGGGTACAAGGAAAATAACAATTCTAAGTATTTTGTAATGTTCAGACATTCTAGAAGCCTAAATGATTTATAATTTAGGTAATTAGATAACATTTCAGCAGTATTAGCAAGGAGCAAAAATGTAGGATAGAGATATAATGTGGTCTTCATTTGAGTTTTCATAATCACTCAATAGTCTGAGAAAATGCTATTGTGTTATGTGGAACAATATGAAATTGCCAGTACTGTTTGAAAATTATCTCATATTGTTCAACCTAGTTTTAGTATCGGATATATTTTAAGCAAAGGTTGAGCATCTTTATTGCATGCAGACAAAGGACAATTTTTGAATAGAGAAATTCCTGTGATTATAATGGAGAGACGCTCTGAAATGACACCATAATATTGTATTGTTATAACACTATATTTGATGATCATAATAGCAACTGATTATGAAGATTAGTATATGTGCGTCATAAATAATTTTCCACAGTGAAACTATGTTGATACAAATTCTATGATGTGAGCGAGAGTAATATATATCTTATAGAACATTTAAAAACAGCTATTTGAGTTGAATATATTCTTTCAAATAAGTGTAATTAAAAATGTTTGCTCAAATCCTATTTGAATGATAGTCAAAAATTATGAGGAAAAATGTGACATGCCATGGTAGCCTAAGGAAAGGTAGTTTAACCATGCTGTTCTGAACACAAATTGAATTTGTAATCTGCCAGGCAGAATGTGTAAGTATATTACTGTTCTAAGTACCACTTACTCAATACTCATTCTTGAAATCAGTTCAAATGTTGTAAATCCTGCTGCCATGAAGTTATTCTTATATTGCCCCATCTTTATAGAATCCAGCCAGTCACCGACTGTTACAAATAAAGGATATTCAGGAACTTCACCAGGAGACTCTGACATTCTATAGGGGAAAAAAAACATGAAGGCCTTTAAGAAATTATCCAACTTTCTCTTTCTGTTTACAATATTTCTGCATTTAATGTCTTCATCTTTAATTTTAAAAGTCTCTAATTTTCTATTGCGTTTAAATCAGCCACTTTCATCTGATTAGTTTCACTTGTCATTTTCTTTTGTCTTTTGTTGCTTTTCACCAATATTAGATCTTACACTTGGTTGGTCTGGAGAAAATTCACATCTTGCTAACTTCTTCCCTTTTTTCTCTTGTACAAAATTATGTTTCAAGCTTGAGAAACAGTCCCTCCTTATCCCCAAAAAGAGAATAACTAGCCAAATGCTGTTCATTTTTATCTTTTTGGACCTACCAAAAAATTCATGCATTTTATTTCATTTTTTATTTTTCACATTTGCTGTGATAGTCCTGTCTTTCTGGCATTTCATTTGGGGATATTTTTGGAGTTTTATTAATGAAGGCATTATTTGGAAAGGTTGAGGGATATGTGTATATATACACATACATATGTACATATATCTATGCAGACACAGTATTTTTACATAAGGTAAAATCATCAAGAGAATAAAAAATGAATTAACTTTAGAGATTATAGCAAAAAATAACTCAGAAATGTGGATTTATGGCCCTCCCTGGTTGTACAATGGGTTAAGATGCAATACTGCAAGCTGGCCATAGCCGCTTCAGTGCGAGTTCCATCCCCGGCTCGGGAGGTGACCCACATGGAGCAGCAGACCTCTCCTGATCCACCTGCTGCTCCCCTCAGCGGTGTACTTCAGTGATCTGCCTGTTCTTCTCCCCGCTCTGTCTCTGGTGAAGCCTCTCACTGCCCCTGCATCTCTGGCCTGTACGCCAACTCTGTATGAATAAATAAAAAAACCTTAAGAAAAATGTGGACTTAAACTATTCTGACAATACCATATTAGTCTTCTTACATGATAATTTGTGTTTAGCTATTTCATTTGTTATTGAGAATATTTGGTAGTAAAAGTGCTCTTATAATAGGAAGTGACTTACCTCAGGACAATAAATATATCATATAAAATTATTAGTTTATATTAATTAGTAAACTAGTAACACTTTTTAAAATCTTGTTGGTGTTTGCTCAATATGGACCACAGTGTAGTCTGGAGATGATATATTTTATTTATGCAAATTAGATAATGAGCAAAAGCCCTTACATTTTCCTATCATGGTGAACAGTAAAATCAGTATTGTTTAAGTAATGACACACTTTTCCATTAAGTAAATCACCAAATTATTTTTAATAGAATATAGCAATAATTTTAAGAAATAATGTAATTTTTATTTACCCTGTTTTTAATATTTTTATAAAGTTAAAGAATGAAAGAATCCAGAGTTAACTATGGAAAATTTTTTTTTTAAAGTTTTGATTTTTTTTTTAAGATTTATTTATTTGTGCATAGAGAACTGGGGTACAGGCCAGAGATGCAGAGGGTGAGAGGATTCACCAGAGACAGAGTGGGGAGCAGAACAGGCAGATCAATGAAGTACACTGCTGAGAGGAGCAGCGGGCGGGTCAGGAGAGGTCTGCCACACCATGTGGTCTCCTCTGGGGCAGGCGGGAATCGAACTCATGCAGAAGTGGTTTCAGCTTCTTAATGCAATTCTTTAACCCGCTGCGCCACCAGGGAGGGCCTAACTATGGAAAGTTTTAACATTGACATTTGGAAGTTTCCATCATATGCTTGCAACATTCACATTTGAGTTATTTTAATTTTAAATAGAAACAGGATGTCTTCTAATGGGAAACAGAACATCATATGCATGCCATATAATTCATTAAAAATATATGGTAGTGGGAGTTAGGTTCTAAGGTCAGTTCATGAGCTGGAAATTGAAAATCTCTAACAAACAAAATTAAAAAAAAATCTTTAAGTGAGCATTAAATCACCAGGGCCCATATCTTTAAGAACACAAAGGCCAGAAATGTTATGCATGGTCATTCAAGTTTGTGCCTCGTCTGACATCGGAAGACTGAAATGTGCTTCTTGGAACTATTCAGGACAGAGCTAGAATCAATTTCTTTGTTTTTTCTTTGATTACTACATTGACTTCCCTTCTAAACTGGGATCTTGTTGAAAGTTGAGAGTGGGGCGTAAAGAGACATGATGGGGGAAGCCAGGACTTTTGCTTTTTGCATAACTGGAATATGCAAAAATGAAATGCATGCATCTAGGGAGTACACTGTGGTCCACATTGAGTTGGTTTGCCCTTAATAGATTTGTGTTCTTGTTACCACCACTCAATTCTGTTATGATATTTCCTATTTTGCAGGCTGTTAACTCACATTCTTCTCTCCTTACTGTAACCTGCAATGCAACTTGATTGTGGGCTGTTTCAATTTAGTTAATATCAGAATGATTCATGATTTGACACTAAACAAATATTCATGATTTGACACTAAACAGATATGAGCCATGTCCAAAAATTGAAAAGCTATCATAGCAACTACCAATGCTCTTTGTTACTGCATTTCTTTGTTACATAGAAATACTTATATCGACAAGAATTAGCAAATAGCTAACATGCATATATAAATAGAAAATAATAAATGTCTCAGTAGCAAATTGAGTTTAGTGGGGTTTTCAGTAGCATTTATCAGTCTTCACAGTGCTAATATGCAGTGTGAATATACAAGAAGATTTAGAACAGGTTATGCATTATTTATCTAAATTATACGATCAGTTTCTATGGAACATATTTTAGAAAATACTGCTGTACTTCACTGCCCACGTTTAAATATGAAAATGTTCAGGGCCCAGACACATTTATATTTATTAACAGACAGGTGTGCAGATGTTAGAAAACAAAAAACCTATTTCAAAACAACACTGCTTTTTTAATTACTTGTTCAAGAAGCTAGCTGCAAGTGAACAAAATTTAAAAAATGTATTCAAGTGACTTTCCCTCTAAATTCCTATCCCATTTTAGATGTATAGACATAGATGACTCCTACCTTTCCCCCCTGAGATAACACTGGAATAACTCTTCAGCTTTCACAATTCCCCTATAATTGGTGAGTGAGAAAGTAATTTGCTAATTTTATATCCTTAGTATAGAAAGGTCAAAGAAGGATGTGTTGTATAATAAATGGCTTAAGTGGTCTATTTCTCTGTTGAAAAGCACACACTATTTGCTCTCAGAATGTTTCGATAGCATCACTCCCTTTCTCTCTGCTCATATTTAGTAACCCAGTTACCCTTTGGCCTTTATATGACTGCACTGGCAGTTGATTTAGTAAGACCAGAGTCCCCTCATTGTTCACAGCCACTGTGCAATAACTTTTCTTTCACCTTATCTTATAACAAAGTTGAAAGATGCTGCTATTTTCTGCCTTTGATGTCCGGGTACCATCACCATCACATGAATTCTCTGAAATATTACCTAATAAACAATAAATGACCTTTCTGATCAAGCATTTACAATGGTAAATTCAGTTTGCTATTTGCTGAACATATAGGAATTTCTCATTTTTGGTAATTAGTGGGCGATGCCCACTTGAGAAATGTCTTTGCAGCAAAACCTGCAGCTCACAGTGAAAAAAAAAAAAGTGCATATTGTAGAATATAAGTTCAAAGGTCTATTACTTTCCTCGGTAAAATCAGGAAGGGTAGAGTTAGCAAATTCTGTGTATAAATTATGGCTAATTTAGATTACAGAAAAGACCTGAGTATAGGTAAATAGGTAAAATAGGTAAAGATACAATAAGGTGCAATAAATATATACTCCCAATGCATTTAAATGCCTAAGAATGAACAGCACTGATAGAGCCAAGAATTTTTTATCCTATTGAGCATTTTGAATTCATAGTAATACTTGTCTTTTAATTTAGAAAACCATTAAGTTATGGCATTTACACTGCCATTAAAAGGCACATTTTTAATCCTCATAAGTTTCTATGTTTTGTTTATTGTGCAAATAGAAAATAGATCTATTAAAAATAGTACAAGACTATGTTTTGAGAAACAAGTAAGATCTTTTTTAACATGAATCTGTTGCATGCTTATAGGCACCATTCTACCCTTACTACTTTAGCATGACTTGTTTTCTTTTTTTTTTT